CACATTTTCCCCACACAAAGGGTATTTGCAAATGCTTCTTGCAAGAGTTACTGTCTTGTGTGCATTTATTTGGGATTTTCTTGTTTCCCATTCCTCCCTTCCCCTTCTCTTTCCTGATATTATTGTTGGGTTTATGCATCAATGATTTTTATGAGCTGAATCAGCAAAACCTTTGGCTTTGATGTTATGGCTTTCAATAAACCATTTTCCCCACACAAAGGGTATTTGCAAATGCTTCTTGCAAGAGTTACTGTCTTGTGTGCATTTATTTGGGATTTTCTTGTTTCCCATTCCTCCCTTCCCCTTCTCTTTCCTGATATTATTGTTGGGTTTATGCATCAATGATTTTTATGAGCTGAATCAGCAAAACCTTTGGCTTTGATGTTATGGCTTTCAATAAACCAAGCTGCAGCACTAATCTGGAGCCATCGTTGCATCAGGCATTTCTCCATGGAGTGTGTTCCATTGGGAATGATAACAGCAAGGCCTGATCTCTCACAGGCTGACAGAAATCAGTGTCACAGAGCACTCACATGTGCCAGGGGAAGCACAAAAGTACAGCCCTTCACTAGTGACAGTGCCAAGACCTCAGTTTCTCAATGGGGAATCATCAGTATCCTCATTTTCCAGGGGAAAGGGAGGCAGATAAAGGACCAAGGGGAGGTTTGGGCTCAGCTCCAAAGAGCTCTGGAAGCCAAACTGTGTTTCTCACCCTAGGCTTTGTTGATTTGTTTTTGTTTCAGTGCAAACCAAGTCAAATTTGGCAGGAGCAGAGACTTGATTGATGGAGTTGCAGTGCTGTAGTGTCAGTCTCAGTTAGATCAGGACCAGAAGTTTATGGAGAGACCAGAAGGATATGGAGAGACCAGAAGGATATGGAAAGGGCTAAACTCCCATGTGGAATCAGGAATGTGGTTTTCCTGCAGTCCTTGGGTGGATCCAGGCCACACAGAGCTTGGTGCACATCAAACCAAAGGTATGAGTCCAGCACAGGGAGGTTGGTAGAGGGAATAGCTCCTCATGAGCAGATCAGGAACAAGAGTAACAATACAATGGGCCAGGGTCTCACAAGGTGAGTCCAGGAGAGACATGAGTCCATTGTGGGCCAGGGTGTCACAAAGTGAGTCCAGGAGAGACATGAGTCCATTGCCATGGATTTTGACACTGTTTTAGGCAGTAGATCCCTGAGGAAGTGGTGCTGTGGGCTGGAGGGGAGTTCTACATATGAACAGTGTGTCAGGTGGGGATGGAAATCTGTAATTCCATGTTGTAATCCAAGCAAATCAAAGCATCAGGAAAGCTAGACAGTATCTGCACAGCTCCTCTGCCTACTTGGGATAGTCTGTGGTCCCAGGCCCCTTTTTGCCTGCCTTGCCCCAAAGCAGACAGTGATCTGACCTGCCTCAGGCTGGGACTGATTGGATCCCAGGCTGCA